AAGGACATGTTTGGGTTTACTGGTGATGTTTTAAAATGGCTCATGTCATATCTGTCTGGGAGATCTTTTAGTGTTTTTATGAATTCAGTTATCTCTGAAACAACAGTTGTTCCTTCTGGGATACCGCAGGGATCTGTTTTGAGTCAGATTCTTTGTTTGCTTCATGTGCTCCCTCTGGACCGAAATATTAGAACTCATTCATGCTGTACAGATTCTGCTAACCGTTTAAAAGAGCAGCAGAACACATTTTTGTTCAAAGCTTGGTATTTTATGTTGTATTATATCTTTATGATATGTTATCCTTTTCTTTCTTGTATAATTGTGAGGCAGTTTATTTGTAAAAAGTTACAAAATGTAAATAAATTTTACTTACTCTCCTCTCCACTATACTGTGTCCTTGTTTTACAAGAATAATTGAAGAATTGAACTGTAAAGTACTAACATAAGTAAGGTATTAGTTTTCAGACTCCTTGAAATTTACAGTTCAGATTAAAGAAAACTTGTAATGACTTTGTCTAATCCCAAACTTCTTCCTCGCTTTGCTTACTGTGCATTTAAAAATCAGCCTTTATGATGACTTTAGAGGACGTGGAGGTGTCAGTCCATCTGTTCTGTTTTTTGTTTGTTTGTTTTTTGCTGTTCTGTTTGTTTTGAAGCCCTGACATAATATACATGATTTCCTGCACATGCCTCACGCTAAGTACATGTATTATACTGTGGAGTCCAAGTGTTCAGAGATATTTATGGTGAACTACAGACTTCACCATTAATTTTAGGTCATTTTTATTCTTCTCGAGAAAGCACCTCATTGGTCCCGTATTCATTTTACAACAAGACGAGCTCAAATATGAACATAAGAGTCACAAACAACTACAACCACAATTCCATACAAGATGTTCAAAGTTTAAATAAAAACAATGCAATGATACTTACCTGTTGCTATGTAACCTGATGAGATGCAAAATGGTCCTCCAGCTGTTTCCGTTTGTTGCTACTTATTTCTTCAGCCTTCTGTTGCGCTAATCGCAATGTTTTTCAGAGCTCTTGTTGTCATTGAATTTTTTTTCTTAAAATATAAATAAAATATGGGTTTATGAGATAT